TCGTCGGTACTAGAATGGTGTTCTTGTTGTGGATTGCTCCAGTTTTGTTTCACGTCGTTGGGATTTCCATCACTGCTTAGAGGCTGGTCTTTTTCCTCGGTCTTTTGGTTTTCGCTCATAGAATATCCTTCAGTCGCAATCTGGATGTCACAAAGGCTCAGTTCATGTACTCCATCGCAGAAGCTCTCAACCTCTTTTTCTGATAGTTCCTCGCTTATCTTTTCGAGTCTTGAAAATGTTGCCATTTCACTCTGATTTTGAAACAAACAAAAACAGGTAGTAGCCTTATCTCTTACAAACAGCTATGACCAAATCTTAATGTTGTTTTTGACAATTTCGAGACAAAGGTAATTATCTTTTACTCTGATTTAGAGTTTTATTTTGTAATCATTAGGGTGGGTCCCTGCTTCGCCAATCAAATGATCGGAATAAAAGACCAGGTCTTTTCATCCTGCCGACGATCGGGCATATTGCGAAACAGCGAAAATGAAAAGACATAAGAAATTTTTATCGCTAACCAGAAAATTGCTATAAATCATGTAACAAATCAATAGTTATGGTTCTAACTATATCTATGGAGTATACCAACAATAACAATAACAACAACAATATATGACGCACATCCTGTTTTTAATCTTGGTCAATAAAAGGCATTTTCGTATATGGATATATATACATAGATAGCTGGCAAAATCAACAATAACAAGTCCTCTACAGTTAAGAAAAACACTAAACCATGCAAGAAGGGTGCAATTTTTCGAGTTGGGAACCTTAGTGAAGACCCATCTTTGGAACCTGATTAGGAGATCAGTCATGAACTGAATGAGGGTACCAGGTTTACAATAGCTAGTATAGGAATTCTATAAAATGATTACAACAATGCTGTTATTGCAAAGTCTTTGGCTGAGAAATCGAATTTACTTTAATTTTGTCGAGGTATTCAAGACAGAGGTGTATAATGCTACCTTTTGCCATTAGCTGAGTCAGTACTGAGTCAGAGAGAAAAGCAACAAGCTACCTAAAAACCCCGACCACATACATAGCTAGTCATGAGAAAATAATTCTCTACTGCAAGATTTCAATGACAAGAAGAATAACTCCAGTTTAACCTTGAAAACTGAAGGCTATAAAATACAAATTCTAAACAAGTAAAATTACAAAACGCGGCCTTAGGAACAAATAGCAATGGCGCTCAGTGTTAAGTTGTGATGCAACAAAATAAGAGCCCGCAATCGAATAAGCGCCGCCCCGAACAATCACCACATCCAGCGCGCCTAGAGGCTTTGATTTGGTAAATGCAAGAGACTATAAAGGGGACAGAGAGGCCATCCCCCATATACACCCTATTCCATAGGTAATTCGTCTCGAGTTATTTTTAGAACCGCAGAACCCAAGGGGGATTGGACAACAGCCAATCACATAGCGTGAATGTATTCCGCGTGGACGACCCACGCTAGAGCCACGCGTCCTCCACGAATTGACGCGGAACAAAATGGGGGAAGACGCGGAGAGCGATTTTGCTATTCCTTTTGTCGACGAAAACGACTACAGCGAGATTTCTGCGAAAGCTGTGTCAGCGAAACCGAAATTAAAAAAGAATCGCCCTTCCTCTCTTGTATAGAGCTAACAGTAGAGCAGGGAAATCCTTAACACACTGAATATTCTCTCAGGATCATTTATAATTTACAGTTTGAAGAGAGCAATTTCTGGTTTGATGTTTATTTTTTT